CAAGGATCAGGAGACCAAAAAGCAGTTGGAAGTTGTCCTGCGAGCCGTTGAATTAGATGGAAAGTGAGTATATTTTTTATGTTCAGTCACTTTAGTGCAGAAGGCTGGAAAAAAGAAAGTGATTTCTTTCAGAGTGGATAAATTGTACGCAAACAGCCAGCTCCAAATTGAGGGTCGACCGCACTGCTGGCACAAAGTGTTATTTAAAATTGTTGAGGAACGAGTGCAACAACGGGTGGAGGCCTTCCAGATAGAAGACAGAAAGTTAAACAAAAACTGGGTCACAAGGTTCCTTTTTTTTCGCACGAGATCACGAAATGCTTGAGTGAAATCCCAGTATGCTTGCACATCTCTTTCTGCCTCTCCAGTAGCAGTTGTCTGGTTTATTTTTGCCATTCCATTAAAGATTCATGGAACAGCTGAAGTATGAAGTTTCCTTTCGGCTGGTTCTGCCTCGCGTTGAGTTTTTTTTCTGAAGCAAGATTTTCAAATAAGCGAGCATCAGAGATATTCTATTGTGTGCCACCTGAGATATTTTGTTATTTTTTCGTTATTTTTGGTAATAAAAATTATTGATAATAAAAAAAGTATGCTTTATACGCTTTTTGGCTGTTTGCAGGAATTTGGAAATATGTCGTCTGTACATAGTGGAAGACCTGTACGCAGCTAAACACTTTCTACGTATTTTCCCTAAAGAGCATCAACTTTACAATAATTTCGTGGTTTTTTATCACAACGGAATCAGGAATAAGGCTTGAGTTTTCCATTCATCTATTTCATTCTGAATGTGTTAGACAGTTATCCATGTCCTGAACAATATATGAGCGATTTGATTTGCAGATCACCGAAATTGCGAGAGGCGAGTTGAACAAACGTGAATTGGTGCAGCTTCTCAGTTGGATTAGGCTCTATCCGTAGGGTCTTTTACAAATATTCTTTGGTTTGGCCGAGTACACCGGTAATAAGAGTAAATAACATTGCAGAGAAGAGCATATGTTAGGCATGGCATTTCTGGAAATCGACGCTCAGGCCCTTGTCCAGGACAAACCACTGATAGAACGCAGTGAACTCATACAGCTTTTTGAAAAGTGAGCTTTTGGACTAAATTTCCGCCATTAAGACTTCCTGATTTTTTTTAAAGTTTTTAGTTCTTAAAACGTCCGGATCAAAAGCAATTTCACTACAAAAGAGCATGCTGAAAGCATCGCTTCTTACAATTTCCGACATATACGAGCCACAAAATGTGA